CCCCCAGTGCCCTCCACTCACYTTCTCMTCCTTGCCAACACACACCAGCTTCATGACACACTTCACCTTCCTCTGGGTGACAGCATAGTACAAGGGAGTGAAGGAAGTGCTGTAGATCTTCACGTTTTCCCTCCCGTGAGCGGCCACGGCCTCCTCTGCAGCAGAAGCCACGGAGAGCGGGTCAGAGGAGGCACAGGAGGGACTGACTTGGCAAAGACCAAAACATCCTGCCATGCAGACAGCAGCTCTGAGCCGGTGTCCCCAGCCTGTCCCCACCTTCGGTGAGTCCCACGGTGCCGATGGGCGGGTGGCTGAACACCACRGTGGGGATGTTCTCGTAGTCCAGCCGCGAGTCCTGCTTGCCCTCRAAGAGCCTGTGGGCCAGCTTCCTGCCAGCTGCAATGGCCACTGCGGGGAGGGATGGGGAGCCTGAGCCACGGGGGCACGGTGTGGCACCCAGGGGGGAGGGAAGGGGCATGGCCACAGTACCTGGGGTGAGCAGGGCTCTGCCACACACGTCCCCGAGGGCGTAGATCCCTCTCCTGCTGGTGTTCTGGTACRCGTCCACCACTATGTGACCCTGGGCATCCACCTGCACACCCTGCCGTGGCAAACAGCAGCCATGCTGCTCCACGAGGGACGGGACTGTGCCAGTGGCCACTCCCAGGTGGGGGGCAAGCGGTGAACATCACGCTGTGACAAGCTCTGGTTCCCAGGGTGACCCCACAGACCCCTGGGGCACCCTCCCCAGCACAGAAGGGACAAGGGATGTGCTGCTCCTCACCACTTGGTCCAGGCACAGCCCCTCGGAGTTGGGCTCCCGCCCCACGGCCCACAGCAGGCAGTCCACATCCCGGATCACCCCCTCAGTCGGCTTGTGGCCGGGCACTGCTGAGCTCACTGTCACATCCAGCAGCCCACACGAGGACTTGGTGACCCTCTTGACCTGCAGGGAATGACAGGASTGCAGGAGAAGGTGCTGCTCCAGGGACTTGGAACAGAACACGTTGCAGAACCAGGGATGGAGCCAAAACCACAGCTCAGCACGCTGCCCTGCCCACCCAGGAGGGATGGGATAAGCCCCAGGGCTGCGGGGYGCGTTCCTACCTGAGTGTGCTTCCAGACATCCACCCCGGTGTTCTCCAGCTCCTGGGTGCAGTTTGAGCTGATCAGGGAGTCAAAGGTGCGCAGGACCTGGGCAAGGATCCCCAGCCCTGTCAGGTGCAGGTTCACCAGCAAAGGCACTGCCTGGCAGCCCAGCAGTATTTCCCAGGGAAATACTACCAGCATTTCCCTGCTCCCGGGACCCAACAGGTTCGGAGTGCTTCTGGTTAACAAACTCCTCTGTTTGCTTCTCCATTATTTTCTTTTCCTTTCTTCCCCTTTTCAAGTCACAGCTTGAAACAAAGCTCGAGGGATTAGGTGCCAACTCAGACCCTCCTTTACCAGGAAGTGACAGCCAGATAACCCCAGCAGGCTGGGATGGGACAGCTGGGGACGGGCAGTGGCACTACCTTGTCCTGGCGGATGAGCAGGGAGGATTTGGAGCCCAGYGTGGACAGGATCCCCGCAATCTCCACAGCGATGTAGCCAGCCCCGACAATGACGCTGCGCCTGCGGAGAAGCGGTGACGCCGTGTGCAGGCACACGGAGCCCCGGGGGCTGCAGGGATGAACCCCACTTTACCTGGGCAGCTCCTCCAGGTCAAAGAATCCATCACTGGTCATCCCCAGGCTGGCACCTGCAAAGCAGAGACCCCTTCGCACCCTTCACCCCTCCCCTTTGCCCTCCCAAAGCCTGGTGAGCTTTGGCAGAGCCCTCTGCAGGCTGGGAKCCTGGGAATTGCAGCAGCTCACCAGGAATTTCGCTGTCAGAAGGGACGGCCGGGCGCCCACCCGTGGCTATGAGGATGTGAGGGGCCGTGTACTTTTTCCCATTCACTTCGATGGTGGGCTCAGGATCAGCRGTGAACTTGCCATAGCCACGAATGATGTCGATCTGAGCCTTAGGGAGAACAGTTACAGCATTATCAGTTACATATATACAYATATGTATACATATATATATAACAGTTACACATATATATATGAGCCAGGGCTTCCACAGCTGAAGGACACCCAATTAAAGCTGGGAAAGTGGCCAAAAATCCGTCACCTTTGCCACCGGGGTTGCAGGATAAACACATCCCACGCTCACCTTCTTGACATTGYTCTCGTAGATGTCGTTGAGGCGTCGCACGTACGCATCACGCTTCTCCTTGATGGTCCTGGAACAGAGCAGGGAATGCTGTCACCGCCACCAGATGAGCCTCAGAGCTCAGGAAGGACCTGGCACTCAGTTCAYAAGGTGGTGATCAGTCAAAGGTCAGACTYRATGATCTCAGAGGTCTTTTCCAACCTTAATGATTCTKKGAACTCAASGCCTCTTTTAAGTGGCAGCCACACCACAGAATAAAATGTGACCCCTTCCCCAGCAATGTGCAGAGGGAAAGCGTGTGCCTGCTTTCCATGCATTTGTCTTTTCCAGAGTTTCTCCTGCAGCCACTTCCCTCTCCCACTTGTCTTAAGCACARTGAGAATCCTGGCCAGGTCACCAGYTCTGCAGAGCGCAGGGGAAGCCTGGCAGGGGACAGGGACCCCTCTGAGGCAGACAATAAGGCACTGACCCCCAGGGGACACTCAGTGGGAGATGATGATTTCCAACCAGTCTTTTCCCTCCTTACCTCCAGTTAAACTTGACACTGGGTGTTTCGAAGCCGTAGTCAGCGTGATCGTGGATAAATTCTGCATGAACCGCCGTGTTCCACATCACCTGCCCGCACAAACTGCAGCTTGGCTTGGGAACACTGATCCTGGGATAACCCCTGCCATGTTTCCTGATGGCTCACCCCTGCCCAGAGCACCCAGGGGACACAGGAGTGACCACGTACCCTCCGAAGCCTTGCTTTCTTCCCGCTCCTTCCTCCCCACACCCTGTGCCAGCACCTCCCTGGAATTTGGCAGGCACCCACGCCAGACCCAACCCAAGCCACCAAAGGTGCCACTGGAGCCACTGGCAAATCACCCTTACCTTCTTTGGCACGCACCCAACATTGACCTGGGGGGAATAAGAGCAAGTCTCAGTGTCAAGGCCCAGTTTTACAAAGGCAATGTTCCAGAGAGCATCCCACGTCAGGTTGGTGCTGCATCTCAGCTCTCTGCCCAGGAAAACAAAGGCAGGATTACGGGTTCCTGGCAAAAGAGGGGTGTAACCGCCTTGGGAGGCTCAAGCTCTTGCGGTTTGTCTGTTTTCCTTCACTTCCTTGAAAGAGGATCTGGAAGGTGGAGCTTTCAAACACAGGGTTTTTCCACTGATAAACTRGAAATAATTTACTAGGAGAAAGGTGTTTGCCATCTCTTCCTTGCACTTCTGGGAGTATGACAATTTTTTCAGCAGAATACACATATGACATTAAACTGGAGCTTGTTTGAGGAACCCGTTTAGGTTCTGGCTTGTTCCCAGCTCTTGAGTTCTGCTTTACCGCCTTTCAGTGGTGCTATACCGATCCAGGAACCGCCAGCATCCCAAGGCTTGGAAAGGGCCAGGAAGAAGCTGCCGGGAATGGGGGATTCAGATCCGTCCTGCTTCGACCYGACAAGGCAGGTCCTTGCACAACCCTCGGACACAGCGGAGGCCGATTCCTCCCTCCTCTCTGCCTTCCCGCACTGCGATCGAGCTCCACCACCATCCCCGGTGTCCCCTGCCCGTCCCTCCCCGCCCGGTGCGGGTTCCCCCGCCAAGGACTCACGCAGGTACCGCCGAGGCGCCGCGGCTCCACCAGCGCAACCCGGGCACCGAGCTCAGCCGCTCGCCGGGCCCCCGCCAGCCCCCCGGAGCCGCCTCCCAGCACCAGCAGCTCGTAGGCTGCCGCCGCCATCGCTCCCAGCTCGGTCTGGCCCCGCCGCTCCGCCCCGCCCCGCCCCGGGCCCGCCCCCGGCCCCGCCCGGCGCTGCACGACACCACGTGTTGGGGCTGACAACGGCGAGTTTATTGGATCAGGTACAGCGAGGGTTGCAAGCACTTCCAGGACAAATATACAGAGGGGAACGGGGCGGGGGAATAACAAAAGAGAGAACAAAATAAAGCAAAAAAACCCCAAAACAAACAAAAAANGGGGGGGCAGGAGCAACACAGAGAGGGGATAGAGCTAAAAAGGGAACGCTTTTATCTGGGTTATGACAACGTACTCCCAAGCAGGAATCGCTTCCTTTCTCCAGTTAAGTTGAGCGGTCTTTCCAATAAAACAAAAGAGTGGTGGGGGATGAAGTTAGTGTGCACTTCCCTGGAAAACAAACTCTACTTCATGCCAGTTAAACACTAGAACTAAAAATGTACAAAGAAGCGTCAAAGGAGATGAAGTGTTGTTAAAGAGTTACCTTTTCCTCTCTGAACAGTCCAGAAGGAAAACTGACTACAAATACAGCAGGCAAACTGACTTTCGGGCTGATGGGCATGGGAGAGAGAAAGAGAGTGTTGTAAGGAATTCAGTCTCAAGTTGTGCTAAATGCTCTTCGTCCTCTGTATGGCACATTTTGGTCCATGATGGGGATTTAAGTTGAGACGAACCCTGATTTCTTACAGAAACGTGTAAATATTGTTGCTCTTTTAAAATGCCAGGTGTACTTCCTTCTACAAAGGTTGGGACAGGTTTATAGGAAGTAGTCTGGGGTACGACGGGTAACATGAGGCTCTCCACGACGAGGTGCTGGGTCAAACTGGAGGCTGCAGGAAAGAAAAAGGGATCACTTACCCTCCTCCACAAGTCCTTTTCCAATGCCATGATAAATAGCAAACTTGCTCTCCTGCTGCTATCGCTCTACTCACCCCAGCTGCTTCCACATCAAACATTCCAAGTCCCAAAAGAAGAAGTCATGGTATTTAAAACCCATCAGAGTGACCCAGTGGCCTGTCACTGCCACACTGTCTCATGGGAGCAGCTGAATACACAATTCAGACYCTCTGACCCACCTTTACAAAGCTCAGTGCTACCAAAGATTGAAACAAATATATAAATCCATGTATTTCTACTCTCTCCATGCAGCTCAGACCATAAAGGGATTGAAGTGCAAAAGCTCCAACTCTCCAGACAGCCAGGAAGAGTAGCTCTTAGGAGCTTAACTTATTGCTTACTTTAAGGCAGAGAACACAAAAGCTAATTCCAGAGTGGTCTGAGCTGGCTTTCCATGGAAGAACCCCTTTGGAAACCATCAGCCATTCCTCACAGACTGGTTAGGAAGAGAGCCCAGCCCARGGCAGGATACTCACAAGGAATATTTTAAAGTGTCATCTAGTTCCATGATAGCAGCCTGGTTCCCACAGCGGTAGCAGTAATTGGGGGCACTGAAGATGGTCACCACATTCCGGTCGTGGCACCAGTTGTAACCCTGCCAGGAAGAAAGAGAGAAAGAGAAGCTCTCTGTTAAACCTCAGCCTGCCCAAAGTTCCTCTTCAGGTCTGAAACTCTCCGAGGCATTTGTGAAACTGGAGATTTCCAACTGACTCAGTTTCATTTCAACATACACTCTTTACCACAAGAAGCAGCAGCAGGTACCCGGCAAAACCAGCTTCCAGCAGTCTACAGGAGATCATCCACTCCTCYCTCACTTGTCATTATGGACTATACTACAAAAAAGCCTTTGGATTTTTAGGGATGCCTTTGGCTTTCATCCACCACAAATGACAATTTGCCTGCTGGATGTCAGTGACTTCTGACACAGGTTCTGCTTAAGGGATCTACCTGCACTGGATTTTAAAAATACTTCAGCTCCATTGACCTACCTGGCATTTTTCCAGCAAGACATCCAAGAATAGACTGTTGACAGCCAAAAATGGCATAATCCCTGTCACATCTGACTGCTGAGTACTACGGGACGGGCTGTTGGATGGAGCAGCAGTCAAAGCAAGAGCAGCCAGAGCATAAGAAGATTATTCCTGCCACAAACCTGGTGCGACACAGCCCCTGTGGCAATTTGCTTGGAGGGGGAAATTTACTTCAAAAGGGCAGAACATCCCCTTATTTAGGTTGCAGGTCAAAGCACGTAATTTTATGTTGTGTATTGTTTTCTCAGCATTAAAGCCTCTCTTTGCTACTCACCTTTGTAAGGTTTAGGTGTCAACAAACCCATGAGCAGAAGGCATCCCAGAGGAGACCCCGTGGACCCCTGTTTTGTTAGCCCTGGCTARCAGAGTGCTTGCCTTACCTCCATGACCAGCTGGTGAGCACGGGAGACCAGCGTGAGCCCATTGGCGTGGTTAAAGGTTTCAGAAATATCCTGCCCGAAGGTGTAGCCAGCACCACGTGGAGAAATGCCCCAGCCACCGCGGTCATCCGGATCYGACCACAACAGATCGCACATCGGACCCTCGGGGAAGATTAACAGTTCTCTGTTAGATCACCAGCAAGATGTTTTATTTACAGGAACAAGGACTGCCAGCACGCCCTGCTGGGCACAGGGCACAGGAGGTATTTACTGAACACACATCTGCAAGCCCCAACCACTSCCACCACAACTTCCAGCTGCCTGAGGAACTCCAAGCGTGGTTTTTCTGTCCAGATCTCAGGCCCCAGAAAGTTATACCAAGGTGAGACAGCACAGAAGGATGGACTGTCATGGGAGGAAGGATTGTGACAGTGCAGCTTTACGGGGCGTTTGTCAGCTCACAACCACATTTGTTATGAGGCTGAAGATAGTAAACACCTTCCCCTGCCAAATCCTGCCCTTTGAGTCAGACTGAAAGCCCCAAAATCCCRTGATTCTGGGGAAAACAGCTATGAAACCCCCACAGCTCTCCTTCTGTAGCCTCCTGTAATCAAAGCACACTGACTCGTGCGTGTTTTACCCAAATGTTCATCTGCTCCAGCTCCTGGAAAGGCCATAATCCAAGTGTAACTGTGTGTTTGAAGGGATTGCAATGTGAGCATATATTTGCATTTTCCATAAATTTCTGAAGCATTTCTTTTCTATTACCTCGTGTGGAACTTCCTGCAGGCGGTCCAGAGCCCTGATATGATCCAGTGTATCTATGGATGGAGAGAGGCCACCGTGGAGGCAGAATATCTGTTGCAGAAAAAACAGAGCAATCCATTAAGTGCATATTGTTAAGAGCAAAATGCTTCCCACACCAGCTGGGTTTAACTCTGGCTGGAGTTATAAATGACTGGTAACAATCTCACCCTCGGATCACAACTTAAACAAGCTTGTCTGGGACTGTTCATACAGACGTGAGACAACACAGCCTGCAGAATTCTATGGAAGGGAGCATTTTCCTTATCCCAGGCTTACCTGGCCATCTACTAGAGCTGTGAGTGGAAGGTAATCAAAGAGGTCTGTGAAGTACTTCCAGACGTTGGCGTTGCCGTACTTGCGCAGGCACTCGTCGTAGAAGCCGTAGACTTGTGTGATTTGCCTGCTCTCGTGGTTGCCCCTCAGTATCGTGATGCGCTCCGGGTACCGCACCTGGGGATGGACAAGAAGCTGCTTTAACATKGGCTGGAAAGAACCAGGAATGGAATATCACAAACAGCAGCCAAGCACTCTGCCCTCAGCACRTGTCCACTGACATGGATCAATTTACACCCTACGCTCGAGCCAATGGGAGCATCAACATGAGAAGCGAATCATTCTGGAGAAAATCGCTCCAAACTCAAGGGTTTTGCCCCAGATCTCTAAAAACGTACCTTCAACGCCACCAGGAGAGTCACTGTCTCCACTGAGTAATAGCCTCTGTCCACGTAGTCTCCCATGAACAGGTAGTTTGTGTCTGGAGACTTCCCACCGATCCTGAAGAGCTCCATAAGGTCATGGAACTGCCCGTGGACATCCCCGCAGACGGTGACGGGGCAGCGTACCTCTTGYACATTTGATTCTTTTGTAAGAATTTCTTTAGCCTGGCAAGAAAAGACACATTCAGGACAAAAAGGTAGGAAGCTCCTCCAGAAGGAGGTGATGTCATGCCACTGCATTCTCACTGGAAACCCAGTTTCATCCCCGCTGCTCAAGCTGGCCATTGGAAAGAGTTTGGTGGGTGAGCACAGACAAGGGGTGTTTCCCAAATCCCAGTGCACGAAGATATGCAGGTTTGCTACACCGAGGCCAAATTCCCTTGCCTAGGGCACATTTTGCCTGCCAGAATTCCAATCCTCTTCCAAGCACAACAGTTTAGCAAGTCACACACAACTGGAAAGCAAARACAGAGGCAATTGGAACATACGGAGCCATAACCATCCTCCCTGGCCGTACCCAGCTGGCAACAAAACAACCACAGATGGAGGGATGGCATCCCTGGATTTAGTCATCTCTTCTTCCCCAYCCAGCAGTTCCTCTGCTAATTACAACCATGCAATGTAGCCTATCTGCACCACCTCATTATCCTTATCAAATAGCAGGTTTGTTGTGCTGTCTGCAGCTGACTGACTGATGCTGATCGGCACTCCAGGCATATCTGAGGCACAGGGAACACCCTCAGGACAGCTCCATCTGATCTCAACAAAAGGGCTGCAAGATAACCAGCACTGTGCAGTCACCAGCAGGTGATGATCTGGGTATTCCTGGCCACATGCCTTAGTTTRGGATGAGGTAGCTCCCACTTGGTGCTGCCAGGAAGGAGCTTCTTCCTGAGAATACACTCTGTGGTCTCTGTGAGGACACCTGCGCTCCCATTCCAATGTTTGCTTCTTGTCTCTTTTAGGAAAAACATGGATTTGGAAGGAGTAACTAAACTCCAGGCAGCTGGGACATTTTGGAGTGCATCCAGCCTACTCTTTGCACAATCCAAAGGATGGGACCCTGATCCTGAAAGTCTCATCCTGCCCATGGACTTGACATGGGGTCTGCCTTGCACTTCTGACATGACTGGGAACTGCTGAACATGTTGTATTTCAGTGCAGTAGTAGCACTCCAATTCTGCTCCCACATCGTTAAAAGCATTTATAGCGCCTTCTGAGAGCTTCCACCCTCTGGGAGAGACAAATATAAACCCACAAAACAGCTGCTCTGTGTGCTCTGACTGTTGCACAAAGCAACAGGCAGGGGTTTGTTCCAAGCTGGAGCTCAGCAGGGCTCCTTTTCCACAGGAACAGGGCAAATCTGCTCACTTAAAATCAGTCCTAGGAAGGTGGACCAGCCCASCTCCTGAAATGCTGGTTCTAGGAGAATCCAGAAGTTTCCCTGATGAGGAAGGAGGAGCTGGCAGGTGATGAGGAGCAGCTCCTTACGCTGCCAACCAGCTGTTCCCCTGCAGCCCATTTTAGCTCACCCTGCAGACACTCATCTGTGCATGTGGACAGATCCACTCTGTCATTTTAACTCTGCAGAGCTGGTTTAGATCAGGCTCAGGAGTCCCAGTTTGCCCTCACGTGATGATTTTCTAATGCAGAACAAGACTCTGAAAATCTTCAGCATCAATAAAAACACCCCAGAAAAGCAGTGACTAACCAGTGCATCTGCCTGCAGTAACACTGAAATAAAATGGCTTAAAATAAAAAGCATTATTACAAAGCAAAAATAAAAACCTCTGATGCAAACAGGCTGCCTGGCATCATCATCACTTACTTAATCCGGGAGGCTAATAAATAACTATGACTTCAAGTCAAATTTTAGCTACCTTTGTTGTAGAAAACAGTGACTAATGGTCTCAGCTTCCTGTGCATCTGTCCCACTTGTGCTGGGTGAAAACCATATCCAGGTCAGGATAAAAAGCWGCAGCTTTTAGGTGTTTTTATTAAATAAACCAAACCAACAGTTGCCATGTCTGTTAAGAGACTTTGAAGAGCAGCCTATTTGTTGGCTGTGAGCTTTCCCATCACCYCAAGTCCTTTGGTGCTTTTCAAGACCCTTGGAGAGTGGAACGACTCCTCTTCTTCTGGAAGATTAATTCCCTGAGCTCCACCTGACCCTTAGGGGCTCCTTCTCTGGGAATCTGAAGCCAACAAGGAGTTTGGGATCAAAATTCACCTGGACCCTCATCCCACCAACTGCCACAGCCCAAACTATTGTGACAACAAGTGGGGCTGAGGATRTAAAACCTCAAGGAGCACAGCTGGAATGAGAACCAGCCAAGTGAGACAGAGGGCAGAGGGATGGCAGGGATGGAGCTGTGCCACCCTTCAGGAAGGAGGGAGAAGGGGACATCCTGGAGCCTCTGCCAAGATGCTCCACGAAGTACCTGAACCAGCATTCCCCAAGATGAGCATCACCACCAGAGAGATGAAACATTCCCGGCCACAACACAACATAGCACTGGGAATTTCATGCAACCAGATTGTGTTCCCTCACTTGCAAAGAACAAGGAGAGGGATGGTTATGGATGGCTGCTTGTTTAATTCAGGAGAYAGCCTTTTCCTTGCCTTCTTTCATATCCCATTTCATTGTCTTCAGGAAAAACCTTGTGCCTGAACTAAGCAGGATGGCTCTYAACTCCCTCACCTGCACCCAAAGTGCAAGCTCCAGCAGTGATCAGAATGACTGTCCTTCTATTATCCTCTGAAATTCTGCAGGACTGGAGCTAATTTTCCTTTTACAGACCACCAGAATGGGAACAACATTGTCATGTTGAGGGGTGGCACCTCCATCACCTGCATGAACCACACAGGGATGATCAGCTTCAAATRATGTCATTGGGCAGGTGAGGACAGAATGTCACTTTTACAGCTGCTAACTGCAAGAACTTTTAAGAGTGCAGAATCACTTGGCACACTTTCATTGTGTCCAATCCTTCAATCTCTGTACTTTATGCCAGTACTTAAAACCAAGAATGGCCCACACAGATAACTCTGGGATTCTAGTGKTTTTTTTTTTTTTCGCCCACTTCATTTTGGTTTGTTTTAGTACTGAGTTCTCCCACCAAGTGAAACCTTAGGCAAGAGGTATTACTGTGCTTGCCCCCCTTGAAATCAGCCCCAAAAACGGGAGTGTTTTGGAGAAAAGGATTTCTTCAAATATTGTTTCAAAGAAACCAACTAAACCAGCTTTGTGGGAGGGCTGCACACCCAAAGGTTTTTGTAAGCTCCTCTCCTGGGTGACACAACCACTCCCCAAAACTTAAACAAGCCAAGTCAGAGCACGGCACAGTGTTTCCTTCATGCCCCTGTCGTTTCCATCCATTTCCAGCAGCCTGGAAGAACGAGGWGCTGTGACAGATGACACACCTACCTGTCACCTGCCACCTGGAGGACAAACAACCTCCCCAACCTCCAGCTGAGCTTTCCTAGCCAGCTTCTCCCTACATCGTGTGCATTCTGTCTGCTGGCATTGTCCTTCAGCTTCCAAAACAGAGCACTCACAACTGCAGCTTCCCAAACAGCCACAGCTCCCTCACAACTGATAGAGCTCTGGAGAAAGAAGCACAAATGGACAGCCCCAGTCCCTTTTTTTTTGAGATTAAAAAAAGGAAAAGCAGGGAAGAAAACAGAAGCAGTGTGGGGTTAGGTACATGTGGGGATCACTGCTGGAAGCATCTGCCAAGGAAAATCTTCAGTTGGTCACAGACTGCAGTGTTGAGGGAGTGTTCACACAGAGCTGCTCAGATAAAACCCACCACCAGTCTAAGGATTTTTCTCCTGATGTGAAAAAAAGGTTCTTGCCAGTCTCTACCAAACAAATCCAAGCAGGCATTTGCCAAGGACTGTCCAAAGCACAGTCYAGAATAGCAGACAGTGTCCTTTATCTGACCATTCCTCTTTCTATTTTGGTCCCCCTCAGCAGGCTGCGAGYCTCTGTTTGGGTCTCACCTCTGCCCCCTCTGCTTCCTGAGATCCACCTCGGAAATCACAATTTCCTCACCGATTTGGGGTTAATTTTCCAGCATGAGGCTCCTCCATGTTGTGTAGCRYACCMAGACGTCAGACACCCCACAGACAAYACCCGGCTCTCGCAGTGTTGGATACCCCAAAAGCAGCATCCTGGTTACCCAATGTCCCATCTCACAGGAACCACCCCAGTCATCCCCAGCCGGATATCCCACACGCAYCACCCAATGCCCGATATCTCACGTGCACCACCCGATCTCCCAATGCCCGATATCCCACAAGCACCACCTGCTCTCCCAGCGCCCGACACCCCACCGGCCGCATCCCTGTGTCCCAACGCCCGCTATCCCACAGGCACCACCCGGCCTCCCACAGCCCGCTATCCCACCGGCCGCAACTCCGTCTCCCAACGCCGGATACGCCACARGCACCATCCAGCCCTCCCAACGTCCGGGCGCCGCACTCACCTTCTCGCAGAGGCTGCGGACCTGGCTCTCGCTCAGTTGCCGGCACTCGTTCAGCTGCTCGATCCACTGGTCCAGCTCCTTGGCGAAGCCCTTCTCCTCCATGGCGGGGGCCGGGCGGGCCCCCCGAGGCCCGGGCCCGCCTGTGGGTGCCGGCGCCGACGGCCGGGGACGCGCGGCCCGCTCGGGTCGGCTCCGCTCCGCGTAATGGCGGCGCCCCCCGCCTGCCGCGGCTGCTGCGCACTTCCGGCCACGCCCACAGCCGCGTGCGGCGCGCGCTGCCGCTTCCGGCGCGCCGCGCCTGCCTCAGAGCCCCGCCCCTTCCTCTCCAAAGCCCCGCCCCTTCTCTCCGGGCCCCGCCCCCCGCTCCCCTCACGGATCCATGAGGCGATGGCGGCTCCGCTTTTTGGAGTCCCGGCAGCCCAAAGCCGCTTTACACAACCTGCCCTCTTCACGCCAAAGAAAAATGAATAAAATGCTCCGTTCTCTCTAAGGAAAAGGGATGAAATCGCGAGGTTTTGCGCCCGCTGTGGGTGTCGAGTCCCAAGCGTTGGCAGGAGGGCAGTTGTTCACCCGGCAATGTAACAATCCCTGTCCGCCTTTCACTAAATGCACGTTGACAATGCTTTTCATCATATTCCTGTTAAATACTGTGGGGCAATGCTCAAAACTGGAGCACATGCACCACGTGTACCAAACATGGCACATAATTAGTGAATGTAAGCAGTRAAAATTATTACATTTGCTTACAATCTAGCACTCCATTAATCTCGTTCTCAGTGCTAAATTGCGCAGATTTCTAGCCACTGCTCTTTATTTATCTCCTGCAATTTTGGACTTGCTCTGCTGTTTCCTCCATACCAAAATGGAGTAGTAATGTGATAATGATATAATAACTGATAAATGACACTGCAGCAGTCTGGAGTGCTGTGTGTGCATCAGCTCTCAGTGCCCGGCCCAGGCTGCAAGCACTGGGATTTTGGGGAAGCTTTCTGGGGATTTTTAGCGGGATAAGATATATCAAATCCATGTGGAGTGTTTTTTTTTATGTCAGATGGAAAGGCTGAGGTTTGCTGAGGACCTACTCATGCTGTTGTTCTRCTGGGAACACCAATGCYSGTCACAGTTCCCTTAACCTCCACGGGGTAAAGCAGCTGGACTTGTGGACTTCACCCTGAAGTGAGGGAAAAAAATTAAAGGACTCAAAACATCACATCCCTGAAGTGAATTTTCCAACTAAAAATACAGCTAGCAAAGTAAGAGAGCACCATTTATATAAAATGTAACTTTGTAGCTACTGTTGTAGATGACACTTGCTCACCATTCTAGTGCCCAGCAAAGATAGCTGCCAGGAACTGTTCACACTCCTCTGGATGCTTTATTTGCTGATTTGTTTCCAGAAGATTATTTTTAGCCATATTGCTCATGTTTGTGACACTGCAGCAGCGAACAGCCACGGGATAAGGCAAATCCTGCACTGTGGCAGCAGACAATAAATCTTCCCACCCCAAGGAGAGCACGCACCATGTGCCTTCAGGAGCATAAGGAGAGCAGCATGCACAATAATTATCATCCATGGCTTTTCCAAAATTACCCAAAAAAGGTGTTCTTAAACCTACCTTATCCTTAAACCAAATGCTGAGCAGTGTTTCAATTTTTTAAGTTTTCCTGGCGATTTAATTCAAACAAACAAAGTATGGACATTTGGACACGCATGCTTTGGTGATAAGTTTCCATTTACTGATTCCTTGCCACCTTTGAAATGTTTAATAGGAAAAKCTTAAATGAAAAGATCGAGCTGAGATATTTCTCTTGGCTCCTCATCAGAAATAAAGAGGTTTCTGAGGTATCGATCCGATGGCAGGTCCTCAGGAAAGGACTGGGAAAACCTCACACCAACAGCAGAGCAGCCTTAGCCAGGACCATCCCCAGACTAACCAGACATGGCTTATTGGAAAGAGGGAGTTCTTGGGATGAATTGTGGATTTCCCTGCAGAGGAGTGGCAGGGACAGAGCCTGCAGAATCTCCTGGCAGCAGCAGGGAACATTCATCAGGCTCCCCGGCAGGGAAAACTGACAAGCCTCACTGAGAGRGAATTAATGAAGGCAGGCACCTTCTCTAAAATCTCATCATTTCTGTGCTRGAATTTTCTAAAAAGGCAATGCTGGTAAAAGTGGCATAAAAGGCCACTTTATTAAAAAATACATTAATGTTGGCTGTGTAACATTTAACCCTTCGGGGGTTACCCTGCTTTCTTGCTTTAGTGATTTTTCCAGTGAAACTTGTTTTTTTTAGGGTGTGATACAAAATGCAAGAGAAACAAAAATTMCTCACGGCCATCACTGCCTATGGAAGGCATTGCCTGGGCTTATCTGCTGTTTCCCAAAGATGCCTAATGGTACTCCTGTGTTTTAGAGAGGAAAATCCACCCCCACAGTGAATAAATAAAATAAATGAGTAAGGTTCTTCCTTCTGCCAGCAGCTGAGGGTGCACAAACCAAGTGGGAGCTCCTCCAAGGGYACCTGACCCCCTTGAGGGTGCAGGGGAGCACCGGATTGCCCAGGTGTATAAGGATACAGATCCCTAAAACACATTTTGGGGTGCAGACACGGCATTTTTGCAGTGGATAGGAGGCAGATGTACCTGGCAGCACCCTCCATGACTCCTGGCTTCCTTTCCCCAGCATCTCCCCACAGGACTGATCTCCCTCCTTCCTGTGCTGGCATCCATCGCCATGGGCAGCACTGCTTGTACTGTGAGGAGCAGCAGGAAACATTAAAGAGCCTTGATAAACTGAAAAAAAGCCAGAGAGGGGTCAGAGGGGAGCAAAGAGGCAAAGAGAGGGAGAACACTGCCAGGGGAAGGGGATGAATCTCTGAAAATGGACTCTTTTGCCATAAAACAGCACAGTGACCGATTCCAAAAGGAAGGAGGGTGACCCARCCCTCGCAAGGATCCCCTTGAAACGTTCCTCTCAGATACAGATGTGTCTTTTAGGGAATATAAAATGTCCTCCTGCAGCAGCCCGGAACAATTTTAATCCCCAAACAGCTGTTTTGGGGTGGGGGAGGAACCTCAAAACCTGCAGATCTTGCAACAGGTTTTGTTTGCAAACGCTAGCAAATCTGGACTATTTGCTTATTTCCTTTTATTGAACCTGCTGGCTGATTTGATTACCTCCCTGGAAACGCATGTGCAAATAGGTTTGCAGCCTTTTGAGGGCACTGCCTTCCGCCGCGACGTCTCCAGTGACTGATGCCAACGTCTCACTAATGCAATGTGCAGGAAGAGCCGGCGTTGGACGCCGACGCCGATGCCCAGAGCTCTCGCAGCCATAAATCCCTCCATTCCCAAATGCAAAACACTGCYGTCGGAAATGCCTCACCCTGAAAAAATGTGTTAGTGACAATTCAATCTTTCAAATTAAGCACGGCCATTCCKCTGCCACGCACTTACCCGGATAGAAGGATCCGATGATGGAAGACTGGGGGGGAAAAAGGGCATCAAATTGAAAAGCCCCAGGGAGATGAATGGGAAATAATGGAGAGAAAAACATTTAGAGCCTGAAATTATTCCCCCTCCCGGACAAATTTCCTTCTTGCCTTCCTGGGAAGTGCTCAAAGGAGAGCTGTGGTGCAGGCACCTTGGAGCAGGGATGAATCTGACTGTAAGAATCCGAGCAGACAGTTAAGACTACACAAGTAAGCAAATTTATTTGAAGACAGAACAAATATCGTGGCAAACAACAATATGCAAATTCAGTTGAGAACAGGGGTAAATATCAGACTTTGTTTTCAAATCGATATAAAATATAGTCAGATTTCATTTTGTCCAAAAAGCAGCTCGCATGGTGGGGGCGGGGTTTGGAGGGGATGGCCCTGTTCACACCACCCCAAAAACCTCAGGGAGGGAGGTGGCTCCTCTGCCAGTGGAGATGAGTGATGCTGGGAGGAGATGGAGGTGCCTCTGGGAYGCTTTAATTTTCTACTCCATTCTCCTTAAAAGTCAATTTTTGCCACAAAGCAAGGGGCAGGTTCATCCCCTCCGAGATGCTCAGTGGCCACCCACCTATGTTTGGATGGTGCAGTCATGGGGATCCCAGCTGCTTTTTAGGGTTGGGCATCTTTGAAGGCACCTGCACCTCCTCTTCCTCCCTGGCTCCTGTTGGATCAACCTCCCATGGCTGAGCCTGAAAAGCCAGCGAGGCAGCAGCTCACCTCAGATGCCAGAGGAGTGAACAGGATGAAATCCCCTCCCAGAGTGAAGGTGCTGGCGTGCTGCTTTCTAGAAAAACCATCCCAAAATAAAAGCAGACATAGAAAACATTAGATTGTCAATGAGGCTTTGAAACAAATTCAAGTTTATCCTTGATTTTTCTCATGTGTGTGTGTGTGTTTGTGAGAGACTTCATACAAACAGACAAGAAAGACGTGGTGAACTTCAAGCTCGGGACGGGCATGTGGTCAGTTAGCGTCCGCAGAAGCACCATCGGATACGGAGGAGTTAGCACCAGAGAGTTTGGAGGACCTAACTGAGCACATGCACGTGGGGATGGCCAGTGGGGAGACATGGAACAGTCCATTAGAAACAATACAAGGCAATTCATGAGTTTTCATACAGTACAATACAGTCACTGATCAATTAACCCTTTCAGTACAGTACATGACAAGTAACACTTTGCACCCTGTTAGCACTAGGAAAGGAGGGTTTGGGATGGAGGGGGGGTGGCTGGTGGGCTGTCCCTTCTGCCAWTGGATTTCAGGGACTCTGAATTGCTTCAGCTGCTTTCCCACTACAGCTTGGACAGCCCAGTCACAGCCTGGCTCCCGGGGGGATGCACTAGTGGAGCACAATGCCACCGGTCCATCCACCCACAGCGAGGGCTGCACCCAAATCACAGAATCCTAGAATTCCAGAATGGAAGGGACCTTAAAGATCATCTAATTCCACCGTCCCTGGCATCTTTCACCAGACCAAATTGCAAAATCATCCTGGTTTGGCCATGGGATGGGAAAGCCACCCCGCTCTGCCCCGCACCAGCCATCGAACCGATGAGAAAAGCTCCAATTTAAGTTCCACCCGGCCAATTCTGGTACCAAAACACGCAGAAAAGGGTTCAGATGGCCTCGAGCCAAACCTGCTTCTTCCCTCAGGCATAGTGAGAACAGGGTCCATTGGAAAAGTGCTAAATTACAGTACATTGGCATTTCCATATGTCGACTATTGAACAGCAAAACAGATTGTTTGAAAACAGAATCAGTATCGTACAGTAAGTTCACACTTAATTCTTCACCGTTTCTACACTTGTAACACATGCATTTTATTTCCATTAGTTTAATGCCAGTAGGACCAACATCCTCCAGAACAATGATCTAACATTAAACAAAACTTCCTAAGGAAAATATTAAGCATCACATAAAGTTTCAGGAAAAACCTGTTAATTAGCATCACAAGGTACTCAGATTTACATTTAGGAGTTTTCATGCCATGATTTTAAAACACCTTTTGGTTAATATCCTGGGGGGTGGGGGAAACGAAACCCAAAAAAATCAAAACAACCCAAAAAAATCAATAAAAAAAGGAATGTTTTGGGAAATAATATATTTCTCTATGTGTATACACACCCAGGGAGACAAGCACRTACACGCGGGCCGGTGCATGGGTGTGTGCACAATTTTGTTTCAATAAACTTGACTCATTTCAAGGGCATTTTCATGGGTCCAAAAAGACTTTCAAGGAAACAAACTCTAAACTACTGAAGCAAATTAAAAAGTCTCTCTTGGAGAAAAAGRAAAGGGTGGTAAAACATTGCCTGTGTGCTGTTACAATGCGCTTCCCACAAGCTATCTGAAAACCCAAACAACTAAAAATCCCTTTTTTCCACCTAAAAGGCCCTTCCAAAGCAAGGGTGCTGTGCTAGGATTTGCATTTGGGCCTCAAGGGTAMCGTGCAGGAGAAAACACTTAATTCTACCTTCCCAAAGGATGAGATGCCATCTCCAAAGGGCAAAAAACTACACCTGAGGGGCAAAATAAGACAAAAATACCTGTTCCACATTCCCCTTTCTCCCAAGCTTAATTTCCAAGGACTCAATGGGACTGGTGGGCTTGCTGGGGGGGAAATTTTCCAAATGGTTTGCCYATATTCTGGTGACAGTGAGCGGGATGTGGGCTCTGAGTCACCGAGGTACTTTCTGAAGAGGCTGTTCCCTCAGCCACTATAATTTTGGGGGCTCAGACAGAGCAGCAGCACCACCCGGTGCTATTTCTTTAAAGCTAAATTTGCAGGGATAATTTGGGGGGGTTAGAAAGAGGAAAAAAACCAACAAAATGTGGATTCAATTTCTATTTTTATATCCAGTGATAGAGGATGTAAGAGCATAATGCTTGGGGTTGCTCAAGATTTGGGGTTTTTAGCCACCTTCAGTTCCCACTGAATATCCAAGCCCCTGAAGGTCTACCAAGAAAACCAACCACTAAAACTGGAGTTGTTTAGGAAAACTCCTCCCTCTGCTGCCACAAGGAAACCCAGTACACTTATTTCCTTTTGTTGCTGAAGGTTATTTCCATGATGGCCCCTTGCTAGCAGTGAAGGAGGAGAATTCCCTTCTCTGCATTCACACCAATGATGCTGTACCGGTGGCGTTTATCCATCAAGTGTCACCAGGGAGAAACTCCCATCAAGGATTGCCAGAGAAGGATTTGGATTGACTGTGGGCTTGTCAAGGATGATGAGCAGCAGTCCCAAGTGCAGATACCCCAGCATGAAGGAAACATGAGGCTCTCACACTCCTGTGATTTATTTGCTGCTGTGGAAAACCCACAGGAGTTTTCAGAGAAGGAAAACACCACCAGTTGGTTGAGAGTGGGTGGTTTGGGACATCAAAACCCAGATTATTCAGCATGCCAGGGATCACCGTCCCATTTTGAATCCTAGAGATTTCTGACTATGTTTCCTGCTAACTCTACCCTGCTGATTTCTTGCTGGCAAGGGAGCTCTGATCCCTGGCCTTCCATACAGAAATACCACAGGAATTTAAAAGGACTAGCGATGCACATCTGAATGCCTCTGAACATGAGTGCTGATCAACTCCTAACAACATTTTCCAAATTCAGCAGCAAACCCCARGGTTATTATGCTCCATCTTCTAAATCGTCTGTAAATCTTTTACTTAAAARTACCTCTTGCAGTTGAAGCCCACGACCAATCCCAACAGCACTTCCAGTGCAGGCACAATGATGGCTGTTATTGCAATGGCTCGAGGGCAGCCTTTACTGGGACCAGGATCTCAGACTGGTTTGAACTGGGCTGTCCCGTGGATTYGCTGGGGTCTCTCCCCAGACACAAGAGCATCTGCCCTGCACCTCTCACTCCATGCAATTCCAGGTGTCAAGGGATGATCTTGCACCGTCCCAATCCCTTTTGAGACTTCTCCTATGTCTTTGGTGTTTTTAAAAGCCATGCACTCGGGTCTCCGGGTGACCTCGAGGTTTACAACAACCACATCTGCCTGGACCTCAGTGGTTTTGGTGTTGGTTCTGTCATGTAAAATAAGCTTGGATGKGTTAAATTCCCTACTATCAAGTCCCTAAAGGGTATGGAATGGAAATCAGGCACCAGACAGTGGTCCAACACACCTCAAAATTTTCTTCTGATGGCCCCTACGTATTTAACACTGCGCCTAAGAGGGTAAATAGACGGGGAAAAGAAAAGAGTTCAAAACTCAGTGCTAACAGTACGTACAAAAGTGCAGTGCTCAGTTTAGTCCGAAGCAAAGTGACTACTAGTACTTAAAGTGCTAGTCCCAACGTCGGTTTGGTTCAGTGTCCAAAACACGGGGGGAACACGGGGAGCGTATCCCGGGGGGAAATTAAAAACAGACAGCACTGCAACTGCACATGCCACACCAAAAGTGCTTCAAATCACACCACTGCGGAGGGACGCGCAACGCCACGGCTCAGCTTGTGAACACACACGAGCAAACGACTGACACCTTTTAGGTTACTATAAAGAACAGCTCCATTAACTCCATCACTACGAACCCGCTCGGGAAGCAAGTGGTCACAGCGCACGGAAAACAAAAGACGACCCCACTCCAAAACCATGAGCCTTTTGGAACATTGACAAGTCTTTGCAACTAGGATACTCAAAGTCTAGCAAAAGCAGCCTTGCCCAGTGTCTGCAACAAGCTTGGCCGATGCTTATCATGCACTTTATAGAGGCAGACTGCCTCCTCTTACACTTTATCTTACAGCTTAGCCTATTTACCTATTTATTCGTGGTCTGCTTTGTTAATTGTAGCTTTCTGACTATGCATTAAGCTGGCTTGTTTCTCTTAACCACCCTACCAGTCAAAGGACAATGAATGCAAGGACGAGACGACAAA